TGAAGGTATGGGTCAAAGATGGTGAGGGCCGTGGAGACGTGGCAGTCACTGTCTAGTCACACATCAAGACTAGTTCCGCTTGGTCTAGAGCCTGGGGCACGTGCAAGGAAGAAATGAGAGGGAAGCTCTCTTCTGCCTCTAATGCAACAAAGTCCCCAAGTCCTACCTCATGGTGCTTCAGGCTCAAACCGTCCCCTGTTCCATTTTCACCAGCCCACACGGTTTTCATATTAGCACGCCTAACAGCAGGTGACTGTGTTGTCAGTGTGAAAGAAGAATCTCCTTCGTATTGTTATCTGCAGGCTTGATGAGGGAGGGGGAGAGGGGACCAGACACGTCATTGTTATTTACCCTCCTCCAGTGGGCTCTCCAGCGGGATGAGTTCCTCAGTCGCTCCCCACTACATTTGAGATTCTCAGGAAGCGCACGGTGGCTACCATATGGGAGAGTGTGGATGTACAACATTTCCAGGATCACAGAAAGTTCTCTTGGGCAGCTTGTTCTACTTGTATGATCATATGTGATAAATGTAGTCGTAAATCAATTGTGTGCCTGTGGTTTTTATAGGACATTGGCACTGAACATTATTTTACTGTGGTATAAAACATGTTAACTCGTACTCTTTCTTCCCTGGTAAACAAATTATCCAAGCAATTAAATTCTTGATTCTCTGTGACAGCCAGTGGTGGAAACTTCTGAGGTCAAAGAAAAGTTTTAATGAGAATCAGAATGAGTGTTCTCAAATATTCATCAATCTTATTAAAACAACTTCGTTAGGTCATAAGCCCATCATCTAAAACACATTTAAAAAATGAAAACTATGCACATTATGCCAGTTTCTCAGAAAGCCAAAGCAAATAATATATATCCTTATTTGTTTTTAAAGATGTATTCATTTATTTGAGAGAGAGAGAGCACGCGTGCATGCAAATGGGGGGGGCAGAGGGAGAGAAAGAATCTCAAGCAGACTCCCTGCTGAGCACAGAGCCCGATGCGGAGCTCGATCCCAGGACCCTGAGATCACGACCTGAGCCGAAACCAAGAGTCAGATGCTTAACCGACTGAGCCACCCAGGTGTCCCAGTATATATCCTTTTAAAAAAGGGACTTTCCTCGATATGTTGTGAATATTGTTAGTGATTTCTGCAATTCCCTATATCAAGAAGGGAGAATAAGGGAAGACTGGAGACTTAACTAAGGATTATGTTAACTGGACAAAGTGAGTGAGAAAAACTAAAGATAATGACAAAACACAATGGTAAGGAAACCCTAGGGGCACTTGAAATGAACATAGTGACTCACACTTTATTTTTTTCTTCTTCTTTTTTTTTTTAAGATTTTATTTATTTATTTGACAGAGAGAGACACAGCTAGAGAGGGAACACAGGCAGGGGGAGTGGGAGAGGGAGAAGCAGACTCCCCGCTGAGCAGGGAGCCCAACGCGGGGCTTGATCCCAGGACCCTGGGATCATGACCTGAGCCGAAGGCAGACACCCAAAGACTGAGCCACCCAGGCGCCCCGTGACTCACACTTTAAAGGAACTGACCATTAGTTGTGCTTTTAACTTCTCTCCAGGAAAAAAAAAAATGAACTTCTGAATGAAAAGCATGTACTTTACTTTGTAAAATCATTACATTATTAGACTCAGCCTCCTGGCTTTTGATAAAATAATAATAATAAATAACAAATAAAAATTACTGATCGCTGTGGTGAAGGGAAGAACTTAATTGTCAGCAGGTGTGTAGGAGCATCTGATAAGTCGGGTTCAGAAACATGAGCAGTTCAGCTTGCTGTACATCAAGCCCTACACAGTGAGTTGAATCCTTCTTTCAGATTTTTTTTCCAATTTCTTTTTTTTTTTTCTGAGAAATAGTTTCACAAAATGCTCCACAAAAGGAAAGTTCCTGAGGTCAGATAAAGTCCAGGACGTGTTGTGCTCTGTGCTTTCTACACAGAGTCACCGAGCTCTGAACGTCCCGCGGTGAGAGGGCTTGCTCACCTTGACTTAATTTAGCCTCATTGAAAATGATTTGGCTAAGGAATCCCAGGTATTTTGGCTTGACACTTTTTCACAGCTTGCAAACTGTGATCGTGTTCTGTAAGATATACTTAAAATATACTTGATTAGCCTCAGAGCAGAGAAACTGAAACAACCAAATCCCTCAAAGAGCTCTACAGCTTTATAGAAAAAAGTCCATATTTTTAGGATGTTGAAGGATCCAGGGATGAGTAGTGTGATGTCTGCAAGTTAATTACAAATGATTCAGCTGAAAATATATATGTGTAGTATATGTGTATGTACACACACACAGGGAGCACACTCAAAATACGGGAAAATGTTCACAACTGGTGAACTGCAGTAAAGGACATGATGTGTAATACTTTTGATGTATTTCTCTAGTTCTGAAAATGTATTCCAGAAAAAGAAGGAAGTATTATAAACCCAAATGCAAGCTGCATTGATTATGTTGGGCAGTGAAGGGGTAGCCATATGAAAGAGTTGATGAGGTGAGAAAAAGGATTTTCAGATCCAGACAGAAGTAAAAGGGGAAGAAGTTTCACGTTCTTGACTGGAGACAGCAATACAGCTGCCGAGAAGCATTCTGGGGCATTCTTCACATTGCCTTGCCACTCCTTTAGGAGTTATGGCGCCATATCGAAAAGTCTGTCCCTCAGACCCTCAGTCAGGCTAATGGGAACATTGCCCAGAAAACTCCTCAGGGTGTTTGTTCTTATTCCCATCCTGGGCACTCCAGACAGCGTGGCACAGAGAAGTTTGCCAACTTGAAACAGTGTGATGCAGCCAAATTAGTGAGGAAGCCACCTGAACCGGGGATCTCAGGATTGACCTGAAAGCCCCGACTTTTTGACCAAGTTATGTCAACAGCTTGAAATTTGCCGTAGCCAGGACTGGCCCGACCTTGATCTTCCGTAGATTGACTATTAATCCCCAGCTCGCAGCTGGCTATGGGAAGCACCCTGTAATAGATTGCGTGTCATCTTGTATGCTTCTAGGCCACAGACGTGGGCACGCAGTATTTTCTAACTTCTCAAGGACTTTGCTGAAGGTTGTAGCACACAGAAGAGTTCCCTAGTCTCGGGATTGTGCCTGGCTGTATCATTTGCTGAAACAATATTGCAAATGTTCCTATTGCCCTAAGGGAGAGAGAAGAGTCGTTTAGCTTCCTGCAGTTTCATAGATGCATCATTTACTATTGTAAAGCTGTTGCTAATATGCTCTTTCAACAATGCTAGTGTCTTTGCCACCCAGGCTCCCCTTCATAAGCTTCTCCTTTCCCCATTCCTGTTCCTCCTCCTCCTTTTTTTTTTTTTATTGTTTAACCTTTACAATAGTAGGTTATAAAAATTGTGAAATTGGATTTGTTCCTGTTTCTGATAAAGGTTTTTACAATAAGGGTTTCTGCCTCCTTCACTAAGCTCTTGGTACAATTTAACAAGTAAAATGGTCAATCCTTGTGGTCTTCTGATATTCTGTCAGTTGTTATGGTATTTCTATAACTTTAATATATGATTCTATCCATTTCATTTATGATAATATAAAACCTTAAGAATATATCTTATATAATTATTACATTTGCTATTATCAATGTGATATTTATAGACTTGAATATCTTCCACATTAAGGCACTAAAGTTACAAAGAAGCATCAGAAAATCATAGTTTCTTATCACTACAAACATATGTTTATATTTTATCTTCCCTTCACACTGGAAGCTGAATATTAATCTCTGGAGAGTAATAATTATAAAATATATTGGTAATAAATGATAAAATTATAAAATTTAACATTTTTATTGTGCTTTACATTTTACAAAGTATTGTCACTTACAATATTAGTAAAGATGGCTGAACAAATAATTCAGTATGCCTATAGAGTCTTTTTTTTTTTTTACAAATTAGTAAGAAATAAATGGTGCTGCCTAAGACTTTAGGATCGCTCTTTGTTTCTCATTATTTTTGTATCAAATTTTTTAATAAAACATGTATTTGGGAGGCTGAAGATTTTCACTCATAATGATAAAAATAGTCTTTGTTATTTGTAGATGATTTTAATGATAATAGTAAAATTGTAAACAAAATTCATATGCCATGACATTTTATGTAACCCCCCAACTGAACAAGAAGTAAGGTATAAGGATTAAAATAACTAGTTAGTAATATTATACATTTAAAAAGGCAGTTATTTTATTAGTGAGCTCTTTGCAGAAATGGCAGTGGGACGCTGCTCTGAAAGTTCCCCCTAATGTACAGAATAGCATGATTTCTGTATGCTGACATTTGAGAGAAGTGATTAGAGATGTTTAATTATTGATTTTTTTTTTTTTTTTGGTCCAGCTTTTCTTCTTGTGCTATTCGAATGGCATTTGTCTAGGTAGAGAATACTAGTGAAACACAAAGCACCCTTTTCTACACACCCCTGCTGGGTTCTGTTTAAACCCCTCAGGACTCTTGTCTTACTTTATGTGTGACTATGTGTTGGAAAGACTTCATTGGAACCCAGCAAATGGTGATCATATCAGTCATAGCGTGGGAAATGGGCTGGTAGGTCCCTACAGATAAGATTTTAAGAGGAAAAATCTGGAGCCTTCAAAACTGTGTATAGAAGCATGAAATAGAATTCAGGAACAGTGGTCTTTAAATTTCCTGTGGTCTCTACGTTTCCTGTCCTTTTTAAAAACGTGAGCGGCACAGAATGCATTTCACTTCCCCGTGTTGCAAATACACTTGGCTGGCTCTTCTGGTGGCAGCGGGTTGCTTACCCTGCTGACTAAGTCACAAGGCTGTTGGCAAATAGAAGAAAAGATTTTCACTCTTGAGCATAAAACTAGATTTTCTAAATTAAATTGTTGTATCCTCATTGGAATCTTTATCCCAGTAGTGTTTCAAAATGCTCCTGGGGAGATAATTTTAAAATTTGTCTCAATTTGGATTCAACACTGATTGACTACTTTCTCTGCTTCGCCCCCCCACCCCCCCAGCAGGTCAAGGAACCTACAGCAGCTTTTATGTTTATTGCAAAGGCCCCTGTCAAAGAGTACAGCCAGGAAAACTCCGGGTGCAGTGCAGCACCTGCCAGCAGACAACGCTCACCTTGGCCCAGGTAAGGAGCTACGGCATTGGCAGAGACTGCCCAGAAAAAATGAACGTCTATTTCCACAGTAGCCTTTTGGGGTTGCTAATCAGAGAAGACGCATGACTGAAAGCAAAAGACATTCTGCTATGCGATTCTAATGGTTAATGGTATCTGAAGTTTAATTTAAAAATACATCACTCTGTAAAACGTTAGGTAGTACCCAGCTGTTGTCTCCCTGTGTTTAGGCCAGGCCTCTGGAAAGGAAGTACTGAGAGTACGTTTATAACAAAAAGAGATTAGGCTTTGGTGGGGGTGTCTTTTAGAAGAGGCCAGGAAGGAGCATTCTAAGACACTGGGAATGTTTTATGTCTTGATTGGTGTGACCGTACGTGGTTTGATACGTGTGTCAAAATCCACTGGACTGTTCGTTGAAGATGGGCACACTCGAGGTTGCTAAATGGAAGTTGTATCTCAGTAAAGGAGTGAAAAGGAAAGTCGTGGATCACCCACAGCATGCATGTGAAACCGAGGTCGGCAGGCTACCATCTGCTATGGTCTCTGCTTGGGTTGTATGGTTCACAAGCTAAGAATGTTTTTGCATTTTTAAGTGGCTGGGAAATATCCAAAGAGTAATGCTGTGTGGCCCGTGAATGCTACATGAAGTTTAGATTTCCAGTCTCCATGATGACACTGTAACAGAAGGCAGCACCACCCATCTCCTTCCATGTTGTCTGTGCAGCTTCCGTGCTGCCCAGGGCAGGCTTCAGTAGTTGCCACCCAGACTGGATGCCCTGTGGAGCCTGACCTATCTACCTCTGGCCCCTACGAGGAAACGTGGTGGACCCCTGATATAAACCATGCACACACCTAAGGCCATGGCTTCCCCGTGATGGTTATGCAGGATTTGGCTAAAGTTGATGTGGGTGTGAATGTGCGTGAGTGAGGAGGGCATTCTGATTGGTGTGATCAAGGGTCAGGGTCAAGGGCCTTCAGGTGATGGGGGCTAAAATGGGGACAAGGACTCCCTTACCACACCAGGCCCCTCTGATGGCTACATTTAGATTTTTATTCCACAGGCAATGGGAAGCCAAGAAAAAATGTTAAAAATAAAGGCAATTTATAAAATGACATTTTAGAACCTTTATTAATGCTGTAACAGTCTGTCATTGGGACAGAAGTTGGTGACAGATTGAGGGCAAAGAGGTTGATTCATAGACTCTTCATATGGTTCATGCGGGAGGAACTGGGTCGGGGTGGTGGCCTGTGGAAAGTGTATAACGGAGCAGCATGGAAGAACGTGAAGGATACACCCAATAATGGAGAAATCAAGGATCCCTGCCTCAAGCCTAGGGAAGATGGTAGAATTACTCAAAAATGCAGCTCAGTATTTCACTATGGTATAATCTCTCTGTACCCAGGCCAATCCTGTGACTGCACTTAGGAAGACAAATCCATGAGTGATGGTTTGTTCTGACCCACGGGACTGGACCTTTTTCTGGGGGTGTCACCGGGCAGTGCTTCTGTCTGGGAAATGTGCTCTCTTAAAGTCCTCCAGAACTTTCCTTTCCACCAGAATCTCTCCTCTGCCACAAGCCTTTTCCAACACAACAAACAGCCTCTTGTATTTTTCTGGTCCATGCTCCAGTCTTGATTGCCTTAGATGGTGGATGCGACCTATTTATATTAACTTCCCATTGTTCTTAGTGAAAACAGCAATAACAAATTATTTTTGAGCCGCAAGCTTAATTATTTTCATGCATTATCTAGTGCATTTATTTCATAACACTCTAAGTATTGTCAGTAACCTTATTTTAGATTTAGGCTTAAAGAGATTAAGGAAAGGAGCTTGTGAGAGTAGGCACTTGAACCTGTGTGATCTAAACTTGTAAGCTCTGCGGTCACCCCATTTTTTACCACACAGATATGTTTACACTGTCATATGCTCAGATATCCCCAGTGATCAGACATGTGATTTAAGACTTAGGTCTTAAGTATGCAGTGGGTGGGGATGGGGTGAGGACCATGAAGAGACCAAGGCCCAGGTAAGGAGGCTGCTCCTTACCTTACTTGCTTAGCAAGTGGTGGTGGGGGTGCTTAACGTGGTCAATCTTTTAATTAAGGGAAACCATACATACAGATTTTTATGTGAAGTTTCACATGTAAAAATATGCTCCTTGGGGAAAAAAACAGAAGACAAAAGGAAAAAGCAACCAGCAGCATCTGTCTAAATGCACAAACTGAAATCGTACCGTACAGGTTAAATGGTGCATTAACATTAGGTGTTTAGAGAGCCCGGTGTGCAGTAAGCACTTACTTCAAGTGAGTACTTGTGAGAGGCTGTATCGTGAAAACTTAAGAAGACAAGTCTCCAGACTCTTCATACTGCATGGGTTAGAATTCCTACATGTATGGTGATTAACATAACAATAAAAATAAAAAATAAAAATCTAAAAAAAAAAAAAAAGAATTCCTACATCATTATTTCCCACCTATGTCAGCTTGGGGACATCTGTTACCTGGGATAATGGTATCTACTTCTTATTTCTTGTAAAGATTAGTTAATATATATGAAGAGTATTTAGAACAGAGGGGCACCTGGTGGCTCAGTCAGTTAAGTGTCTGCCTTCAGCTAAGGTCGTGATCCTGGGATCTCGCTCCTCATCAGCTCCCTGCTCAGCGGGGAGTCTGCTTCTCCCTCTCCTGCTGCCCTTCCCCTGCTCATGTGCTCTCATTCTCTCTGTCTCTCAAGTAAGTAAATAATATCTTTAAAAAAAGGAACAGTAGCTGGAACATAAATAATTAGATATCTTATATGCTTTCTTATTGTTACTTTTTATATTATTATTCATGAGTACTTAGTGCGTGTGTGCATACACACACTTCGGTACTTCACCATGAAATCAATGCAGACTTTGGCTAACTCCTTTCAAAAAAGTGAAAGCAATGTATCATGGAACACTACATCAAAACCTAATGATGTACTGTATGATGACTAACAACATAATAATAATAAAAAAAAAAAAAGTGAAAGCATCTCCCCTCCCACTGTGTTCCTCCAGAAGCTCTGTGTAGCCCCCTCAGCTGCTTACCTGGACCAGCAGGTCCTTGGAGCCATGACCTCATCCACCCAGCATCTAGGATCTGTCCCATCTCAGAGACCCACCCCCCTGACCACCCCAGACTTTGTCAGTTCCTACAACTGCTCTGCGTTTGATTATTAAATTCAGACTTTTATTCTCCCTACATTATTTTTGCTCCGTACATTGTTAACCCCTCTCTTAATTTCTTCGAGAGCTCTCTGGCCTTTTCTTTCATCATTTCCTCCCCTGATAGGCTCTAACTTCAACTACATTATTTCAGATATCATTAAATTTCCATTCCACATTCTGTACAATTGCCCATTTGTCTATATTCCAAGTGCCAGTAAGCCTCTTGTATCAGGTAACTTGCGGTTTTAGATCCCTGATGCATTTTCAACACTTCACCCAGTACCTTGCCCATAGTGGGGCACAAAGCTAATAATTCGAAGTGAATGGTATCTGTACTTGAACCGTTACTGATCCAGTAGATCCACATACTTTAGAAATTATACTGGGCATTTATAATCACATTAATCATAGAAGTTATGATTCTTTTGCTACCACTTATTGATTTCCTTCCTTACATCTATATTCTGGTACTTTTATATTTCTCTAATTCTTATTACAGACCTACAAAGTAGATATTATTATCTAGTCTTTTTAATAGACTCCATGAAGTTAAGCAGTGAACCCAAAGTCACACAGTTAACAAACGCTGGTGCCGGGGATGAAAAGTCTTCTGTTTCTTTAAAGCTCTGCCTTTTCTAGGATAGACTGTTCACTCTACAAATCTGGTAATCAGTGTCCTGTTACCCAACCACATCCCCATACTTAAACTATCCTTCAAAAATACTCTTGGAAAAAAAAAAAAAAAAAACTACTTTAAGATTTAAGGAGATTGGAAAGGATGTTTTAAAGATTACTTATTTAACCCGAAATTTTACTTTATTTTATTGTATTGTATTGTATTTTTTATTTTTTTAATCTGAAATTTTAGTATAGTTACTAGATGCAGCATCACTGGTAAGTAAGTAGAAGAGGCCCTTCAATTTTTTATTAATGACAAACATTCACACTCAGTAGTACCTTCCAGGAACAGCTTTGTGGAGCAGCTGAGTAATCCCAGGAGTCTGCAAGCAGCCCCCACCCAACACACACACCCAGCAGTGGGTGGGGCAGGAGCTGAACTTTGTCCTGAGGAAGGATTTCCAGGTAGAGAAGAGGCAACTCTTAAGGTTTCATTTTCTCAAACTTTTTAAAGATCTGCAACTGACAGAATTTTTTTCTCTAGTCAAAAAAAACATAAAAAGAAAGAAAGGACTTTGTGTGGCTGACAAGTTATATAGTGGAGCAGGATGGGGTTTATCTGCGCTTCCGCAAGGAGCTTTTTATACACAAAGAGAAAAATCGGAACCTACTTAGCTACCTGGGTTATTTTTTTTTTAACATAATTTTTTTTTTTCTGGTGTGAAAAAAATCAGTCTACAATAGGCCCTTTGCCTCTCATGAGTCTTAATAGTAAACTCCTAATTACTTTTTGTTGTTGTGGGGGACTTATTCATAATGCCAACATTTCCTCAACACTATTTAAATTTTGTGTGCAAGATAATGAGCTGCCTCTCATACATAACGTTCTAAGGTTTAATTGTTTACATATTTCACATTTAATATGATGCTCCTAATGAATTGGCAAGGAAGACAGGAGGCCATTTCTGTCATGGTGTTAGGATGGGGAAACTGATGTCCAAGGTTTTGGCCTGACCTTGAGGGTAAATTGAAAATCAGCTGGGACACCAGGTTTTTCCTCTGAATTTAAATCAAATTACCTTCTTTATTTCGTGGTGACCTTGACCAGGGTTTCCACTAACCAAAATAGCCCTTAGAAACTTGCATGCTCCCTGGAAAACAGTGAACAGCAGCTGATTGGAAAAATATGGCAGGCCTCCA